TCTTTTCACCGATTTTTTCGTACTTTTGTTTATTGGTAGCTGCCTTTAGTCCTTGCCAAGGTAATCCACCCCTTAAAAAGTACATAAAAACGTGACCAAGAGCTTCTAAATCATCTCTTCTTGATTGTTCTGTAAATGAATATTTAAACGAATTATTTCATTTAAAATATATATATATATATATATATAATGAGAAAAATATATATTTTTTTTGAAATTCTATTGCTTGCCTCTTCCCAAATGCGTATTGATACTCATATATCTAGCTGTACCGCTTAAGCTTTTCCTTTCTCGATATGGAATATGCTGTTTTGTTTTTGGATCGCGGTATTGTTTTGCCATACCAAAATCAACAACGTGAACTACATTTGCACCTTTCGTTCCTGGACGACCAATCAAAAAATTATCTGGTTTAATATCTCGATAGATAAGATTCTTTTCGTGAATGGTCTGCACTCGTGTGAGCTGATAATGATCATAGTTAAATATTTATAGATGATAAATAATAATAATAATTTAAAAAAAAACAAATCGTAAGTGATCATAATTACATACCATTTGTTTGGCTACCATTACCACTGTTTTGATGGAAAATTTTCTACCACACATATCAAACAAATCTTCCAAACTAGGACCAAGAAGGTCAATTACCAGTATATTATGTAAACCTTCCTGGCCAAAATAATATACGTTAGGTATACCCGCTTTATAAGGAATAATTTTGTATATTTTAATAAAAATGTTCTTTAATATAATTTCATTCAAAATCGATCAAGAAAAAAATATAACACATACATGACCCGTTTAAAATTTTATATGTACGATATTCGTCTCTAAGTTGCGGTGCATCACTTTTTCGTGGTTCCTGGATAAAATTAATTCACTAATAAATAAATTACTTTCCATTCAAATTTAATTTAATAATAAACTCTGTGTATAACGTACGAATTTTATGGCGACTTGTTGATTATTTAACAAATTTGTTCCTGAGTAACATAAATAAAAAATATAAAAAAAAAAAATGAAAAAAATAACGATGAAAAATTAATTATAAAATATAAGCAAAGCAAAGGTTAAAAGTAAATTTAATCAAATTAATTTTGGATACGGAGCATTTTCTTTTTTTTTTTTCAAGTTTTTGATCTAAATATTTATAAAAGCCATATTGAATTGTTGTTATTAATTCACTTGCGATGAATTAATACAACAAAGGAACACGAATTGTCAATTAAGCCAGGAAATATCGACATTACTACTTGGAAAAACTTTTCAACACCATTTTATTTAGGAGCTAAAATATATAAGCTGAAGCTTTCGGTATAATGAAGTTCTCCTTATATTGACATCCAAACTCAGAAGAAAAATACATTAAAGAAAATGGTCGAAATAATACTATCGAAAAATGTCAAAGGTCTCAGTAGATAAAAAAATTTTTATATAGATTACCTTCGAAGATGACACCAAAGCTCCCCTCCCCGATTTTCTTTCCAACTCTATAGTGCACTCCCACAACATTTGATGAGTGTAGACCATGTGAACTGTTCGCCATGCTATTTTGGATATGGTGGTGATGATTCGACATCTAGACAGGTATATATATATCTTTTTTTGTTTTGCTGAAAAATCTTGTAATTTTATGTGTCAATACTTATGATGGCAAGTCTTATGAAGTTATTGGATAGCTAAAAATTAATAAATCGGCCCGAAACTCGGCTTTAATTCTGCAAAAGAGGGAGCGAAGGGCTTAATAAGAGAAGGAAATGGATTTCAAAAAGAAGAAACGACAGGATTTTCTAGTTGCAAAAAAAAAAAAAAAAAAGAGGGGAATAACAGCTTTTGTATGGCGGCTTTTTTTTATTTATATATTAATCTATTTTATAAAGTTGTACTTTTTAAAAAAAAAAAAAAAAAGCAACACCTATCATCAGTAAACTGCAAATTGTGTGGTTCAAGTTGGTTTTATAGGTCCAGCTATTTATATTGTCGCATATATATATATATAATTGATTTAACTATAATAATATTATAAAATTCTATAATATTAATTATTAAAAAAAATATATATATATTATAGTTTGTCTTTATAACTTCAAAAGTATAATAATAAAAAAATATTGATAATTTTTAGTTATTGTATAAATTCTTATTAATTTTTGTTTAATACTAAATTGAAGAATTATAATAACTATAATTTTTTAATATTAAATATTATATATTTATATTAACTTAAAAAAAAAATTTTTATTAAATTAAACTTTATTTATAAAATAATATGATATAGGGAGTTTTCTAAAAAAATCAGATTTAAGAATTTTTAATTAAAATTAAGATTTTATTATATTTAATCTAAAAATTATAACATAATAAAAATCAAAATTTTGTTAAAAAAATTATGATTTTTTTAGTAATTTTTTCATATAATTTATTTGATAATAATAATATTCTATATAAAATTATATATAAAATAATAAAAAATAATAATAAATTCAAATATAATAGATTTTATGTTAAAACATAATTAATAAAATATAAAATAAAAATTAATTTATTTATATAGTATTTTTGTAATAAAAAGATTTAAAAATTGATTTAATAATTTTTATATTTTTTATAAAATCTTTATTTTTATTAAAAAATATTATTATATTATTATTTAAATTTATATAAAAGAAGCTAAACTATTTTTATAATTAATTTATCAATTTTTTATAAAAATTTTTTATTTTTATTATATTTTAATTTTAATATTATTAAGTATAAACATTTAATTATAATAAAACTTTTAAATTTATATTTAAAATTATTAAAATTAAAATTTTATAAATTAAAAATAAAATTTTTTATATAACTTTTATAATTATAATAATTTTTAATAATTAATATAATATAGATATTTTGCAGTAAAAAGAAAGAAAACCACTAAAAAAAATTTTTTAAGTTAATATTAAATTTGAATTTATTTTATTAAAAAAAAATAATATTTAGTTTATAAAGTAAAAAAAAATTTTTTTTGATAGTTTTCTCTTTTTTTTTTTTTACTACAAAATACTTATATAAGTTATTTAAAATTAATATGAAAAAAAAAATATTTTTAAAAATAATAATTTTTAAATTATATTCTTTAGATTATAAAAATTTTATAATATATTTTATATTATAATAAAAAAATCTAATATTATTTATAAGCTAAAAAATTATAATTTTAAAAAATTTTATTATTAAATTTTATAATTTTATTATAATAAAATACTTTTATATAAAATTTTTAACTTATTTTATAATATAATATTATTAAATAATTAATATTTTTGACAAGTTAATCTATTTTAAAAATAATTAAATAATTATTAATACTTTATTAATATTGTAATTAATATATATTTATAGTTAAATATAATAATATTAAAAAATTTTTAATAAAAATAATTAAATATTTTTTAAAATATAATAGTAATTTATTTTTATATATATAATCATTTATATAATATTATATATAAACTAGAAAATGGAAATCATTTAAGTTTGAAGTGAAATCTTTTATATTAATTTTTTTTATTTTTTTATTTTTATTTTTTTATTTACTGATCTTATTATATATGCAACATGACAAATGGAAATACTCACATAATTAAATTTTCACATTTTCTAAAAGTATAATATTTTATGCTTTCTCTGAATAATAAAAGTTTATTTTTATAATTTTATATATAAAATATAATATTTTATTTAAATTTTATATATTATTTTATTTAATAATTATATTTATAATAATATAATATTTAAATAAAAAGAATTTAAAAATAATATAAAATTGGTTTTTTATTAAAAATTTTATTTAATTATTAATTTATTTATATTAGATAAAATTGAAATAAAATTCAAAAATTACATATTTTTGATAATAAAAAATTCTAGATAAATTTTTTAAGTTATCATTTAATAATTTTAATTTTAATAGGTAAATCTAATATAAATTATATAAATATCAAAGATGCTTATCTTATTTTAAATCTTAAAATATAATAAGAAGAATAATATTAAATTTATAATAATAAAAATAGTAAAATTTATCTATTATTTATTATTTCTTTTATATAAGTAATTTTTATACTTGTAAAAAAGAAATAGATAAATAAATTTTAACTTTTTAAAAACTTATATTCTATAACTACAGATATTAAAAATATTTTATTTTAATTTTTAAATTTTGAAGAAATATTAAAAAAACCTAAATAATATAATCATTAATTTATAGATATATTTAAATTATTAAAATAATATTATAACAATTTTAAATCTAATTAAAAATCAAGTTTATTTAAATAAATACATTATTTATTCTATTTAATGAACCACAAAAGTTTATATAATAAATTATGATAATGAAAAATTAATATGCATGTTGACATAATATCAGCCATACCTATTTTTAGTAACAATGCATATAAAAAGAATTTATTTATAAAAAGGACTATCCATTATAACAGAAGAAGAACGTTATACAATAATGATTTTGAATGGTTCTCTTTAAATAACAGATTAATATTGATTTGTATCAGATATATAATATATACTGTATACATTAGTTAACAAATGATCGTTGCTGAATAATTTGAATTGTTCAATTCTTTGTTTTCGAACATCTTTTGATAATTTTCTTATCAGATGCTATCTGGATGCGTTTAAATCCAACTTATTGCTACATTTCATCATTGTTCAATGAAAACGCGTGCTTCGAATTCAGATCCTCCATATATGAAAAACGAAAAAAAAACTATATGAATAAGATAATACGCGACAACGAAAAAAAATATATCTGAGGGACACCCATTTATTTTATAGTATATCGATATACATCGCACACCCAAATAAGGCATAATGCTAGTGAATGCTTGTTATTCTAGAACCCATTTGAATAATCACGTGATGAGTTTCCGGAAAAAGATTTATTCTAAACCTGGATGAAACCTTTGTTCTTTTTTTGATTAGAAAGAAACAAAATGGAGCGAGATCAAGTAATAAGAGAGCAAAACTTCATATATTACGAACAAGATCACCTGGTAGCTGAAACATTTTTCGAAACCTTTGAGACGGAAGGAAATGAAAAATCTGACGACGATGATTCTTGTACTGCCGTAGATTCTCAAACTTGTTCGGAAGAATTAAGTTCTGCTTTAGATACTTTTAAAAGCTCAATCCTGCATTACACTTTCTCGAAACCTTCGATACCGACGTTACTGGACTCCACAGAAGACATCAACACATCTCATTGTCCTATTTGCTTGCAAATCTATCAAGAGCAATGTTATTTGCATTCTTGTTATCACACTTTCTGCATCTCTTGCATTCGTCAATGGCTTTCAATTACACCAAACTGTCCACTGTGTAAATGTAAGGTTGAATTTTTAATAACTAACGTGGATGATTCAAAAGGGACATTTAATAAGCTTTATCTAGATGATACGATGAATAATGACATTAAGGGTAAAATGAAAAGACAAAAATGGATTTTGGAGATATCTAATATAAGCGAATGTGATAAAGGAATTTCAACAAATAATTTTATGGAAACTAAGGCGATTGGAAATAGGTTGATAGTTTATTCGGAAAACCTTTTCCCAACCAATGTTCCTATAAAAAATAAAATTTTCACATTTAACAAATACGATGTTGAACGGGTGAGACCTTTTATCACACGCGATTTGAAAGTTATACTCTCCGACACTTATGATGTGGTGGTTGATGAATTTGTTTTATCAGTTATTTCATCATTTTACAAACAAAATAAAACAAAAGAGGAAATTATGGAAAAGTTGAAACCTTGGTTGGGAAAGTTAACAGAAAAATTTATGCATGAAACATTTCAATTTACAGGGAGTGAATTAAGTATTGAGATTTGGGATAAGATAGTGAGTTACACTTGAATGATATGATCATGATCTGTAGCAAAATTTGCGGCATCCTCCCTTCCTTTTCTGTCATCCAAAGACCATAGAATAGGTATCGGTAGGAAGATTAGAACAATTAATAATAAAAACCCATATCTAATTTCATGCGTGATATCAACTATAATGGCTATTAAGGTTGGTCCTAACCAACTTGACCCTTTATCAGTTATAGCATAAAGGGCAAAAAATTCTGTTTCCCTTCCACTCGGAACTAATTCTCCAAACATCGTTCTGCAATAACTCTGTAGAGGTCCTAAAATGATTCCAAACCATACAGCCATGATGTAAAGTTCACCCGAGGTTCTTAATCCACCAACCGGTAGAATTAACCCAAGACATCCATAAATAGGAATAAGTAATAACATGAAAAGGAGTAAAAGAATCGTATTTTTAATACTAAGCTTAATTAAACGTGGTAACAATAAAGTTGAAGTTAAGGCGGATATGGGAGCGATCAAAGACAAGAAAATCAATCCGGATTCAGGAATTCGTAATGTTGTCCTTCCGAAAAGTAAAGCTACCGATGTTATGGTAGTGTAACCATCTGATATCAGGATCCATGACATTAAGAATCGAAAAGTCATTTCCAACTCTTTAGCTTGTAATATGGTTTTCCATAATCTCTTCCAAGAAAATGATATGTAATCTATCCATCTTATTTTACTTCCCTCGCTAAGAAACAAAGGAGGTCCAGGTCTAGGTTGTAACCATTTAGCAACCAATAAAGAAAATGAAAACCACCAAATTCCAGAAAGGAATACACCAATTTGTAAACTATAAATTGTATTATGTAATAAAAAAGAAATACAAAGACAAAAGATTAAAAGGATTATACCACCAAGATATCCACTCGCAAAACCACGTGCGGAGATACGAGTCGATATGTGATCTTTAGCTTTTATTAAATTTTCTACAAGATTAATTAATATCTGATCTTGTGAATTTAAAAGTCCTCGCTCTTCTAAAGCATTATCATAAACATCAACTTGAGTATCAGCAGCATGTTGATGTTGCGTTTCTACATTACTTAAATGATCTTTTATTTCATTTGAAATTCTTCTTACATCTCTGTGATTTCTAACCATAACTGGTAAAAATCCATTAAAGCAAACGAACGCTGCTCCAAAACTCACATTTCCAATAATAGCCAAAATACCGGCAATTATGAACGATCTGGAAGGAATTAATAAAAATAACATTGCTGAAATGCTTCCAACAAAGGCAAAGTATAAAAGCAACGTTTTACGCATTTCTCCATGGTCTGCGGTTGCTCCAATTGAAATAGCCGTAATCGCTTGCAAGATTACGCTCAATGAAAATGTGTATAAGCTGAACGAGGCCGTATCAACCCAAAACCCAAAGATGTTTATAACGCATCGTACTCCTTCCGAAAGCTCTTCATTACAAGGCGTTTGATGATTGATGCTAGATACACCTTTCTCAAAGGCGAAATGTTCTAAAATTAAAGGTATAAAACTCGATATTGAAACTACCGAATAAACTTCACAAGCAAATGCGTAAATGTACCATGCAAATAATTCTTTTTTTGTTAAGATAGGTTCTGATTTTCCATTTACAAGTTGTTCGATCGTTGATTTAAGTGGAAGAGGTTTATTCGAATTATTAATCTCCAAGTTGGAATTCTCAATATCAAATTCATCCATATCAAATTTTCAAAAAATTTGTGAAATTTTCTTTTTATTTCAAAATTTTATTTATTAATTAATGTGACACATAATGCGTGTAACGTCTAACAAAGGGGTACGTTAACGGCTAACCCTCCCAAACTTGTTTCTTTATATTTTGTTTGCATATCAATTCCAGTTTGACGCATCGTTTCAATTACTTGATCGAGGGTAACTTTTGCAACCGAGTCTCTGTTTTTTAACGCAAGCTGAGCAGCTCCTAAAGATTTGATCCCACCTAATGCGTTTCGTTCTATACATGGTATTTGTACCAAACCATTGATTGGATCGCAAGTTAATCCGAGATTGTGCTCCATGCCGATTTCTGCGGCATCCTCAACTTGTTCCAACGTTCCTCCCTATTTGTTTTAGAAACGTTTACATTATATAAAGTTGTTTAAACCGATCCTTTAAAATGTTAATATTACCATTACTGCGGCAAATGCTGCGGCTGCCATGCTACAGGCTTTTTCATAAAATAGCCTTTCTAGTTAGAGGATATTGAATCGAGTTTAATAATTTATTAATCAAAAGTAAATATTACGTACCGACACCAATTTCTCCTTGACAACCCATCTTTTTTTTTTTTAAGAAAAAAAAAAAGGTGACGCTTTAATATAATGAAAGACGGGCCGCTAAAAGCGATTCACACATTTGGATATTTACCTCTGCTGCGCTAATGCTAGCTCCTTTTTTGTAAAGCATACCAATGGCGGCACTTGTAAGTAAAAAATCCATAATAACCTCTTCAGGATTTTGCTCTGATACGAATTCCAAGTAATATTTAAGCACAGATGGAATTACTCCGCTTGCTCCGTTCGTGGGAGCCGTAACTACTTTACCACCCGCCGCATTTTCTTCGTTTACGGCAATAGCATAAACTGACACTATATCTAAAATATTTATGCTTGGTGAATTTTTAACGGCCGACGGTAAAGGTTGTAACAAGGAATTTTTTATTACAGCGGACCCTGATGGGATATCAGGGTACAAATCTTTTAAAAGTTTATTGTATAATCCTGGTGCTCTTCTACGAACTTTTAAAGATCCCGGCAGATATTCCTCCGTGCTTAAACATCCGTTTTGAATACTTTGATTCATTGTATTCCATATTTCCATTACCTTTACATTAAGGAAATCATTTATTTCTCGGAATCGTCTTGAGATTGGGTCAATAAATACAAATTAGATACCTTGCTTTCTATTTCTACTTTGCTGCGCCATCGCAACTCATTCCGGTAAACCAATTGAGCGATAGACAGGTTTTCACGTTTACAAATCCGTAAAAGATCTTCAGCGTTGCTGAATGGAAATATAACATGCTCCCGTTTAGCAAGATGTAAATCCTTTTCACCGGATTTCTGAGAAATATTTTTCCCATTTTCACGAAATTCGGTTTCACCGACCACAAATCCTCCTCCAATTGAAAGGAATTCACCAGATGCTATACAATCCCCTTGTTCATCGAAGGCAATTAATCGCATACCATTAGGATGTTTTGGTAAAGATTTATGATAATGAAATATAAGGTGTTTTTCGGGAGTAAACTTAATGGGTCTACTACCATCTAATTTGAGAATATCTTTATGATATCATCAGATTATTATATTAGATAAAATGAAGGTTACTATTTTACCAAACCATTAGTATCATGAATTGAACCTGTTTCGGAGATTTGTGCAATCCGTGGTAATATCTTTGTTGTATCAATCCCTTCGGGAGTCTCTCCTTCCAATCCCATTAAAATTGCGTTAGGTGTACCGTGACCTTTACCGGTTAGGGCAAGTGACCCATATAGATCAATCCGAACTCTTGTAACCTAATCAAACAGGAATCGTTAGATAAATTGTACCTTTTTTTTTTTTTTTTTTTGTAGAACTTTTTCTGTCGTTACCTTATGCAAAACATTATTTTGTTTTAGTTCTTTAATAAATTTCTTTGCAGATCGCATTGGACCGACAGTATGACTAAAATGTTTGTCACATTTTGGTTTTATTGAATAAATATTAACATGATTTATGATTTGATCATTGAACAAACCTTGAGGATGGCCCTATACCAATACTAAATAGATCAAATGTGCTAATAACGGCATGTTCATTGGCATCAGAAATTTTTAATGAAGTATCTAATTTATCATAATCATCATTCTTAACCATAGAATTATATGACCTGATTGATTTAAAATCAAGGGTTTTCCTCGCAGAAAGTTGAAGTAACTGTTCGATGTGGAATCCAAGATTGATTCTTCGAATGTTTTTAGAAAACTGTAGGTATCTCATTACTATTCAAATCAAAACGGCAAAGTGAATATGATGCCACAAGAGAAGTTCCAATTTTTATAAGTATTGGTTATAATTGTTTAAATGTTTATTTATTATATTTATTAGTTTGTGTTTCACAATTAAATAATCATAACAGATTGTTTTAAATGTTTCTAGTTCTATTGGTTCACATCGTTTATTCGCAGCAATTTTTTTTTAGTAACCAAATTTGTAAATTACATACAAACGTACTTATAAAAATAAACCAAGAATGCCAGATTTATACATGAATCACGTGATTAGTTCTATTTTAAATTTGAAAAACATGATCATTAAAAAAAAGCATATGGAATTTATATATAACATTTTAACGAAAAATAATACTTTCTTATTAAAAGGTTTAAGATTATCAATAATCTTACATATAAAAAAAAAAAGAGGTAATTTTGAAAATAATTAAACTTATAAATAGTTAAAAAACTTATTGTTAAATAAATAAATAAATTTTTTTTTTTAAAAAAAAAACAATTTATTAAATTACAAAGTTTTTAATATTGTAAAATATTAAATTATTTTTTAGGATTATAAAAAAATCTTATAAAATTTTAATACTAATATTCTTATGAGAATCTTTTTTATTTATTGATAAGATACTATTATTTAATTAAATAAGTATTTTTTTTTTTTTTTTTTATAGAATATATTATTTCAAAAATTAAATTTATATAATATAATAATATAAACTTGAATTATTTATTTATTTTCTTTATAATATTTAATATTATTAATTTATTTTTTTGCTTAATTTTTAAATTAAAAAATAGCCATTTTCCATATATTTTTTTTGGATTTTATTTATGATTTTAATCTATAAAATTATTGTAATTATTTTTTTTTAATACCTTTTTTTTTTTTTTTTTAGATAATAAATAATTTATATAATAAATAATTTTAAATTTTAAAAGTTAACATATTATCTTTATT